TAATTCTCTTCTACATTTAAAGACTGTTATGTCCCTCCATATTAAGAAGAGGTCTGGAAAACAAAATTCTGTGCTAAAAATAAACCACGTGCTGCTATCCATGAACTACTTTCATGGTTCTTTACACTCTTTTTGAAGACAACGATACCTTGTTTTGAACTTGAAATTATCATTTAAAAGTGCAAAATTTAGACATTTTCTCAACAAATGGTTGTAGAGAGAACATTGATGCACAGTTTGCATATTTTTTTGGATTTTTTAAGGCTCTGCTGAATTCTGTAGCTGCGCAGTTCTAAGGAGCATATCAAAAGCATTTTTCTGAAAAAGTATAGATTATATATGCACAACATGCATTCAGTTATGAATATTTATTGTATCTTTATCATAAGGACTTAAAATTTGATCAAAATATGATGTATTTTAGCCATATGAAGAAATGTTTACATTTTGTTCTCACAGCACTAAAGGTGGCCGTACATCCCCCTTAAATGAATATATTTTTTTCTTTTACAAAGGAGAATAATAGCAGTAATACAGGTCAGTGTTTCTTCCTCCGGCACCATAGGGGTGACTTCCGGATACCCAGTTTTTGTTGTTGTGGTCTTCGTCATCAAAATGCACGTGTTCTTCTCTGACGTACATTCCTTTCACAAGTTGACAAGGGGAAGTAAATCTCATCAAATAAAATGGTTGTGCCGTTGGAAGTACTATTTCCCTGGTATATGAACCGTCTTTCCTGCGATCAAAAACGCTATTACAATATTTAAAACCATAATAAATCTTTGGAAGAGTAACTTGATATCAGCTTTCCTATTTCTACCATTATATTATTAATTTTCCAGAAATATCAACATTAATTACTTGTAAGAAGAGAACCAGGAAAAATTCTTGAGTAATTGCCACGTGTTCTCTATATAAAACTTGATGAAAAGAAGGCTCACAAGAAATTTCATCCTAATAAATCCTTCACTTTACAATCACACAAGCTCGTGACCTGACAAGTAGAGCACAATATTGAAACACCTATTTGTTGGATATTTTCTAACCTCTAGGTTAGTACATATGATGTAATGTAATCATGGATCCTTTTTGGCGTAGAAAGCTTATTCAATGACTATGTCCTTCTTTGAAAAGTAAATATGATCTTGCTACCTTTGTTTTAGCAATCACGTTTGACATAACGAAATTTTTGTTATCGAAATTCAAATACTAGCCCATTTTCAAGATATAATATAAATATTATAAATTTACTCTTCTCCCGAGCCTTTTTTTAACCAAAAAATGCACGGCCATGTTTTAAAGGAGAAACTCATCTGGAATTTTGGACAGAAACACGGATGGGGATCTGAAGACCCTGAATTAATGCACAAGAATTTTAAATTTAATTTTTATAAAACAAACGATGAAGGTCCTCATTGACAATACTATCATAGCATCAAATTTGAAGACCTGGTCCCAATTCCATAAACAGAAGACAGACTAAAACAAATTTTGATTATATATATATATATATCTTGAATTTTATGTCATAGATTTGCTTTGAAATTTTTGCCATTTTGTACAATATTTAAATTCAAACATGTGATGAAAAATTTGTTTCATTATCAAAATTATTTCGAAAGTTATATTGGTTTGAAATATTCACTTAAGGAAAAATAAAAGAAATTTGATGCGTGTATTAATACACATTCTTTGACTAATTTTGAATAGAAATGGCATATACGTAAAAATTAAGAAATCGTATTTTTTCTTTCTTGAAAATTTCTACTTAATCAGGTAAACATTTTTCTGTTTACTTATTCAAACATCAATCTAAAAAAAATATTGCTGATTTCTGAAAAAATGGTTAAGTTATTTATCCTTAAGTTTTCTCTCAGTTTGTGGTTTGAGTCCCCACTAACCTGTAATCAGTTGGTTATCTTAAAGGTACTGACCGCGTTAATGTTTTATATTGTTATGATTCTCATTGCTTTATATGCAATACTGAGATTATTTATCAACAATATTCATTTCGTTAGTTCTATGGTCCTTTTATGGTCATTTTAGCAAAATGATTATGATATAGATTTCGTAATTTTTATATCATATATTTTCAGGGTTATGTTGTAGGGACTTGGTTCCAAGAATGTTCCAATTTAACAATGTCTGTAAACTGTGATCTTTGTTAATAAGTTTTCTGTTTAGGCCTAGAAATCGATGAAACCAAATATACTCTTTGTTTTCTAGTATTCATTCAAACGGTCCCTCCTACGCAATGTTTTCTACAAGTAGACTCAAACTTTACTCAGCGTTATATGTTCGCCTTTAAAATCAGTTAAAAGTTTATTTTTTACATAACTGTAAATTTTGACTTCAATTTCTTGGATACAATACTAATTCTTTATGTACAAAGCATAAAAAGAGTTTATTTTTCTTAACGTCTATTTCTTATCAAGCTACATATACATGTATGTATAAGTAAGAATATTAAAAATTGATCGATAAAAAAAATCAAACAATATAAATCTCTTAACAAGCCATAAAACAAAGATACTTTCCCAGATATTCCATAGGGGGATTCATACCACCAATTGACCTCTGCGTCTCCGCACACAGAGATTTGGTTTGGTACAAACGAACTCTTTCCAAAGTTTTAGGTGGGATTAGGCTCCAATGTTTAACAACTGAGACAATCTCATCTTTGATCTCAGTCTCATTTTTTCAAAAGGAATTAATAGTGGAAAAGTGAGAGAGACTGATATCAAAAATGACCTCATCTCAGTCGTATTGCACCGGAGCCAATAATCTACATGTAGGAAGAGGAAGCATCTCTTGCTGGTCTGTCATCTCCGCCATAAGCCCCGTATATTGACGAGACAAACATTCCGGAGTCCATTTTAGTTTACAAACAAAGGTTAATAATGAACGTTAGCAAAATACTAAAGAAAGGTTGCATTTTAAGAAGGTCACTGTAACTAATATGGTATTGACAAAATACTGTCTTTAAATGAGGCTATTAAAGTTCTTGCAACATTAACTTATCAGCCCGTAGCCTGTCCTGTTTTGAAAATTAATCTTTATCCAGAGCATGCTCTTGAGTACCTAATACATTTGGAGATGTAAACTTTTAGCTATTTTCAATATACCTGCAGCAATATTCAATCCTTGTATTTCTATCATAACTTCCGCTGGGTAGAACTCCTCCATACGAGTTTTTATTTCTAGAATCCTCGTCATCCCAATGTATACTTCCATTTAGAAATCCTGTGTAAAAAACATAAAATTGCTTTTGAGATATGGTGTTAACTGTAAAAAGAAACACGAAAGCATATATTCTGGATAGCCTAAATGAATATGGGTAATTTGAACTCAATCTGTTTGTTTTTAAACTTTCAAAACTTTAAAGTGGGTATTGAGGTTTAAAATAATTGTCGCGTTCAATTCCTTCGAGTTGAAATTTGCAGATGACAGTGCTCACTCCTCCATGGCACCTGACCCCAACTCTGATTTTTGAAGGTCTGTGTTTGCTCTGGTCCTATTTTGTATTGATTTATGGACTTTTCAGCTTGTCTGAATACTGTTCGTTATCTCCAAACATTTCTAAAAGAAAATGCTTCAACCTCTCGGCGGACACGTATGTCCTTGTTTTAAAATGCAGTAGTTTCCAGCTGGCCAGAACCCCTCGTCGTTTATGTCATTGGGATCTTTGGTACAGTAGTAGAACTTCATATTTCTGCCAAAGGAACCTGTAAATGAAACATATGAAAGTTGATTTTAGTTCAGTTTTTGACTGATTTTTAATTTGTGCGTCACAAAGGTCATTTAAAAGACTACAAAGTTATTTAATAAATATAATTACATCTTTACAAAAACATCTTTATTTTCTGCTGAGATATTTCAATATGTCTTAACTGTAGGAAACCAAAAGCAATTTTCAAAAAATGCCGAAATGTGACGATGTATATTTTTTATGTTACGGATTAGAGGAATCACAACTTAACTTGCTAATATGTGTTTACGATGTAAAGATTTTACTAGGTGCAACTTTCCGAAGAAATCAGTCTGATTAAAACCAGCCCCCTTCTCCTTTCACTGACGAGTGAAAGGAGAAGGGGGCTGGTTTTAATCAGACTGCGAAGAAGTGATATCCAATTGTCATTTTATGCTTCTTACTCAAACAAGTAAAGTGAAAGTCTTTGGCTCTACTCAAACAAAGGTGATGTCCAATTGTGTGTGTTGCTACTCACCGAAGAAGTGTCTATTTGTCATTAGACTTTTGCGAGGAGCGCTTGTATAATTTACGGCTTACTTTAACACTAGACAAATGTACGGAAGCACTTTTACGATAAAAATTTTAAACATTTGATTAATAAAAAAAATGAGGGGTTCTTTCAAAGCACAAATAAGTTGCTTTTGACGAAAATTCAACCATTCTACCATCAATTCCCTGCCTCCTATGTTAGTACCCCTAACAGAACTAGTGCTAATTGTAACGGGAACCGTTACAGATGTTCCCCAAACGCTCCCCAACTCCCTTTTGGTGCCATATTCCCTGTAAGCCTTATTATATAAGACAACATCTGTGCATTTTTGAATTTAACAACGTTTTCCCAAAAGGATACCAATTATATTCAAATTTTAACATTGCACGGTGCCCATGTGAATGCACGTGCATACTGATCATATAATCTTGTCTACACTTTCTATATATTCAAATATACTTTATATTAAAGCATTCAGTCCAAAAGTATTAAAAATCACTCATTCAAGTGTATTTTTAATTTCACTCATTCCAAATGCACGCACGTGCGTGCACATGCATTATTATCATACCTTCTTGTAGGAGGCCCTTATATCTATCTATGTTCTAAATCCAATCCTGTTTGGTTGAAAACCAAGGGAATTATAGCCATTTCAAGTTTCAGCCAATCAGATTGCAGCACACGTGCATCCACGTGATTTCTTGAATTTTTTTCTAAATCATATTGTAGAATATCCTAATGCATGACTATGTTTCAGATTTCAAAGCATTTCGTCAAAAAACAAAGGAGATATAGCCATTTAAAGTTTCAGCCAATCAGATTGCAGCACACGTGCATGCGCGTGATTTCTTGAAATTTTTTGTATATCATATTGCAGGATATCCTAATGCATGACTATGCTTTAAATTTCAAAGCATTTTGTCAAAAAACAAAGGAGATGTAGCCATTTAAAGTTTCAGCCAATCAGATTGCAGCGCACGTGCATGCGCGTGATTTCTTGAATTTTTTTGGATATTATATTTCAGGATATCCTAATGCATGACTATGTTTTAAATTTCAAAGCATTTCGTCAAAAAACAAAGGAGATATAGCAATTTAAAGTTTCAGCCAATCAGATTGCAGCGCACGTGCATGCGCGTGATTTCATGAATTTTTTTCTATATTATGTTGTAGGATATCCTAATTCATGACCATGTTTAAAATTTCAAAGCATTTCGTCGAAAAACAAAAGAGATATTGAGATTTTTGTTTCAACCAATCGCTTGTGCATGCGCGTGATTTCTTGCTAATTTGACAGTGTCATATTATTAACACTATTAATATATCTTTATGTAATGAGTTTCAAAGCATTTCATCAAAAAATGTAAAAGTTATAGCTATATTAAGTATATCAGTCAATTCACTCATTTCACGCGCACGCACGTGCAGGCGTATGCGCGCAAAATGACCTTCGTTCCGCACACCTACACTTCACACCTATTAACCCTAAAAAGCTTTTAGCTCAGTTGGGTGGACAGTTTCTGAGAACACTCGCGGACAAAAAAGTACCGGAGAACAAATAAGAAAAAAAATAATGATAATAAGAAACAGAGTAAAAACAATATGTTCCCAAACTCCGTTTGGGGAACATAATTAAGGGCACTACCTATGACCAATAGAAAGGTTTTCTTATCTTTTATCAATTCTGAACCTCCATACATGATAAGATGTACATGACGAAGTAGACTATCAACTGAAAAAGTAAGTCTGAGTGCTTCTCTAAAAGTCCCTTGGTGCTAATCACAATGAAATATATGGAGACTGCGAGTAGAATTCGAACTCAAAAGTTAATCAAACATGGACCTCTAGCACATTAATGGCGGGATTAGGTGCCATGGTGGAGTAAACTTCCCCCGCTGACCGGTCAGATTGCCGTATGCTCCTTGTCATGTTTAGGGGAAACAAAACGGAAATAAGTACTACTCACTACTCACAAAAAGCTGACTCACAAAAAGCTGATGTCTATTTGTCATTGATGCTACCTACCAAAGAAGTGATGCCCAATCGTCATCGAATTTTCATTATCGCCATCTTCGTCGTCCTGGTCCCGCCATCCCTCCAGCCAGTTGGATGGACAACCAGATTTAGGTTTGATTAAAGTGTATGTCCCTCTAGGCCATTTGACTAACAAAAAGGATGGGAAAACAAAAAAAGTAATGTTGAAAAACCCTCTCTACACTGCATACAAAAGAGTTCCGACAGATTCCATGGTACTAGTATTTTTCTGCAGTTAGAGTGATCTGTCCTTACATCTACATTCCAAGATATAGAAATTTACAGTATATTACACACTTTGTAATCAGTACAAGTTGTTTTGTTAACATTTTAAAAGGCCAAGATAAAGTAACTTAATTTACTCTGTGGAAGTACACACTATACATTCATTGACTGAGTTCGAGAACAACATGGGTTTTGTTGGACCAAAGAACCAAACTGTCTGCCTTTAGGCCGTTAGGCCGAAGTCAGACAGTTTGGTTCGAGGGTCGACAAATCGCATTTTCCCCGAGAACTCCGTCGAAAAATGTTTTGTTATGCCTTTCATTTAACTTTATTATTTTTTTTTACATTTACATGGATTGTGTACTGTATTGCGTGACGTAACATCAGGTTCATCATTGTTGAACACCAACAAATGAAAATAAGATTAAGCTCCGCCCATTCTGTGACGTAAGAGGTCACTCAGCGGTCAAAAATCAATTTTTTATGCCCGCTTGCAAAACATTAGAAATGTTAGACCTTTTAGCTCACCTTGACGAAGTCGAGATGAGCTTATTCTATACCCCCGGCGTCGGCATCGGCGTCCCAGTTTAAGTTTTAGGAGCAGGTCCATTCCCAAGTAACAATAAGCCCTACCTGGACCAAACTTGCGTGGATGATGCATCTGGGGATGGACACTACCAGACTTGCTTCGGATACTAGATCTGACCTACATTTTCCAGATGAGTGACCAGGTTAAAGTTTTTGGAGCAGGTCCATTCCCAAGATGAGTGACCAGGTTAAAGTTTTTGGAGCAGGTCCATTCCCAAGTAACTATAAGCCCTATCCAGACCAAACTTACACGGATAATGTATTTAGGGATGGACACAATCAGACTTGCTTCGGATGCTGGATCTGACCTACATTTTCCAGATTAGTGACAGGTTATTCTTACAAAACAATTTTCTTTCAATTGATAAACTCTTACAGGTTTATATTGGACAAAAACAAAACAATGAAACGTGATTTATGCATCCATGCTGGGTTCAAATGACAGTTAAAAGCGCCTTGTTTCATTTTTAATACGAGGTAATATCAGTATTGTGAGGAAAAATATTTTCTCATTATAAATTGATTAGTTTTTAAAAGGAGAAAAACAAGTACCTGCCATCGCTAGGCTGAAAAGATATAAAAGATAGAAAATATTCCTTTTATCCATTGAGAAACCTAAAGTAGATAACAAAAAGCATTATTTATAATAAACCAGGTATTTTTATTTCGTTTTTTTTTTTATTTGATAATTTTTAAAAAGATTTTTTAAACCATTGTCTTCAAAGACAAAAAATGTACTTCTATATTTTGATTGAAATTTCTTCTTTAGTTTATAGAATACGCAAAGTTTAAAATTGCATTAACTAACATGAACAATACTTATGTTTGATAGAGAAAGAAATATTTCATTCTATTTTACCTGCTATGTCTTGATATGCCAGCTTAACTAGACGAAAAACCCATTCTTTTTATATGTTTTCAGATGAATTCGAAACAAATACGTTTAATAAAGCTGTTGCAATCTTAATGTCATTTTACATAGATAAAGAGTTGATAATACGAGAATTGTATGAAATGAACATTTTTAAAAACACCAATTTCTCCAAGATCGTTGTATTCATGTTTGGATACTGAGTGCTTACCACTTGAAACAGACGCCTCCTCTATTAAAAAGCATGTCATTACAGTAAAAGGCAACATGTGTTTTGGTGAAATAACGCAAAAATGATATTTTGTTATCACTCTAATGATTTATAAGGTTTTAAAGACTGGTTTTAATATAAATTACGCTAATGGAAAATTCGAAATCCATTTATGCAATGTAAACCATCTATTTTTCTAACAAGAATGTAAGGAAGAGATTTAAGCAGATTACAAATATTAGCCCTTCGATTGATTTTTTAAATGGCTATTTTTAATTTTGAAGTGAAATGTAATCAAAAATGTTTACGGTTATGGATAGAACAGTTTGAGAAGAAAAAGAATATATCAATACATGTATAGATATATAGGATAGCTTTATACATAGCTTATATTTTTTAGTAAAGAAGGAATTAAGATCAAGTTTTCCAACAATCTCTTGGAATTCCCATGAGTACTTATTGCGACCCGTTATGAACACCACAATGTTTTCACATCAGGCTGTATCATTTTACAAAATCCTTCTCTTGCTGTGATTTTCGCTTCAGCATTGATCTTCTTATCCCATGTTTAATGCTTTGCAATCAATGCTTTACACAATTTAAATGTATATAAAGGGCTCCATTTTATTTTACTTCATTACGCTAACGCAAAACCAATGTGACTTTACAACTGTGGGATACGAAAACGATATCACATGAGCTCTATCCACAGGATAAAGGGGTAAACATGGGATAAATATACCATTAAAACCATTAAAAGTCATTTTCAGGAAATTAACAAGCTAAAAGTAATTGCATTGCTGGGTTCTCCATGGGTTGTCTACGATCATGGCGGCCCTGCTAGATTTAAATTTCTAAGCGCCATAGTTCCGCCACAGGTACAATATTAGCACCACAGTGAGATTGTCGTTGTCATTATGATAAATATAAATATTTATTAATCCAACAAACTTTTAAATCTCAAAATTACGTACCTTTTTCAAATTTCTATGCTAAACTGTTAATTTACTCTAATTAGGACCCATGGTTTGGCTTACTCGATCAATTATTTTCTAGACCAGGCTCCAAGACCGTAAATTAAGAACAGACTTAAGGGTCCGACTGGGGTTTTATTTTATGAAAACTTTGTCAGCGAAATTCTTCATTTTCATACCATATATAACTTACATAAATTCAGTGTACATGCAAAGTTTGGGGGAAATCTATCGTTCAGGTATTTTTAGGGACCGTCTTAAAATAAAAGTACATTCACTATAGGATTATATGGGAAAATTTAAGCACTTGATTGATTGATTGTATATTGTTTAACGTCCTCTTCGAGAATTTTTCACTCATATGGAGACGTCACCGTATGCCGGTGAAGGGCTTCAAATTTTGACCTTTACTCGGCACTCAGGGCCATTGAGCAGTGAGGGATCTTTATCGTGCCAACGCCTACCGCTGACACGGGGCCTCGGTTTTTAAGGTCTCATCCGAAGGACCCGCAACTTTCACTTCAAAGTGCCGAGCGCATGGCGAAGGAACAGTTGCTACCCACTTTAACGACTAGGTCAGTCGCGGCCGAGATACGAACTCACGACCTCCCGATCACGGAGCGAGCGCTCTACCGACTGAGCTACCGTGAAAGGTTTTAAGCACTTGAAAGCAAATTATACAAAACACTAAATTAGCCTTTTTTTCAAACTACATGTATAATATTTGATGAGTAATACTATATTGTACCTTATATGTAAGAAACACAAAATTCTACCGTCTTGTTACCAGTGGGAGCATCTCAAAATGTCAAAAATTAAAGAATTTTCCCGTTTTTAGCTCACCTATAGCTGAAAGCTCAAGTGAGCTTTTCTGATCACATTTTGTCCGGCGTCCGTCTGCCTAGTCCTAGCTGTCCGTCTGTCTGTAAACTTTTCACATTTTAATCTTCTTTTCAAGAACTACTGGGCCAATTTCAACCAAACTTGCCACAAAGTATCCTTAGGTAAAGGAGATTTAAGTATGTTCAAATAAAGGGCCACGCCCTCTCCCAAGGGGAGATAATTATGAATTAGTGAAAAATTAATGGCATTTTTAAAAAATCTTCTTTTCAAGAACCATTTGTCAGGAAAGATGAAACTAATGTGGAATTATCCTCAGATAGTGTAGATTCAAATTTGTTCAAATCATGACCCCCAGGGGTAGGGTGGGGCCACAATGGCCGACCAAAGTTTTACATAGAAATATATAGGAAAATTCTTTAAAAATCTTCTTCTCAAGAATAACAAAGGCATGATTGATCATATTTATATGGAAGCATCCTAAGTTAGTGTAGATTCAAGTTTGTTCAAATCATGACCCCTAGTGGTGTAGGGCGGGGCCGCAATGGCCGACCAAACTTTTACATAGAAATTTATTGGAAAATTCTTTAAAAATCTTCTTCTCGGAGAATATCAACGCCATGATTGGTCATATTTATATGGAGCATCTCTAGGTAGTGTAGATTCAAATTTGTTCAAATCGTGACCCCTGGGGGTTGGGCGGGGCCACACTGGCTGATGAAAGTTTAACATAGAAATATATAGTAAAATTCTTTAAAAATCTTCTCAAGAATAGGAAAGCCATGATTGGTCATACATGTATTTATATGGAAGCATCCTCAGTTAGTGTAGATTCAAGTTTGTGGAAATTATACCCTCTCCCCTTTAAGGAATGGTTGGGACTACTTTTGGGTTTAAACTTTTCAATAATAAACTAAATTCTGCTTTTATGCTAGCCACAGTGCTCAGGTGCGATGTGGCCGATGGGCCTCTTGTTATACAGTACTACAAAACATGACGGGCACAAACGATTTGTGTGAAAAGATAAGAATAATGGGAATATTCTGATACGTCTAAGTTTTAAATTTCAAGAGTGTATATTGATTTCTTTTTCTTTTATAACATTTTTATTACCCCTCTCTTTAAGAGATTTGTTTTATCACAACGTCACATGTAACTACGTCTACCTACATAGGTTGTAGCTATGTCAACCTACGGTAACTACGTCAACCTATATATCAAGTTCAACCTATGTATCGAGTGCAAAATCGGTTTAAAAATCAGTTCTATAAAATTGTAATTACATTTTTAAAACTGTAATTTCTTAATTTTGATTCATCTTATTAATTAAGCGACAAAAATTTATTTAAAATAGTAAATACGCTTCATTTTACTATGAAGTGCGAATATTGCGCAATGAAAACAGTAGTCCCCCCCCCCCAAATTAAAATTTTAAATCAATATAAATTTTAAAATAATTTTGATGATGAAACAAATTTTTTACCATTTGTTTCAATCGGGATATTATATAAATCTGCAAATTTTTTATAACATATGTGTTATAAATGCCAAGATATTCAAATCCAAAATTTTGATTAAAGTCTATTCTCAGTTTATGGTGTCCAGGCCTGGACACTTGTAACTTTTTTTTCACACTTCGCACTAATTACAAAGAAATTTTAAATATCAGTTAGTTCATGCTTAAATAATTCTACAGTTAACCATGTCTCTAACATTGCACTTGCACAAAACATCATATGTGTCTTATGTGACCTACCAGAAAAACTTTTTCTTTTTTTTAATTAGGGTTTAATACTTAAAACCTGTTTTTACGGATGCTTTTTTTCAGATTCTACAAGCAAATAACTATTTATTAAGTAAATATGTATGTTTGGGGGGCGGCTTTTTTTCACAGGACATATATAAACAAATTGTGGAAATATTTGAATTTTTGTTTTTGCACTATGTAAAATCGATAGTATTATTGAGTTTATTGATCAATCATTTTACCAAATAATTAATGCTATTTATATTTGATCTAAATATTGATTCCTAGGTGCTGTGTGTTTTTCAATATTTTGGGGCTCCTTCGCGTATTTGGTCGCGAAATGACCTGTAATGATATTACTTTTCGCGATTGAATTCTTGCGCTACAGTTAAATTTGAAATGATGGACATCCCTGCATTTAATGGTTCTCCGTTAGATAATATTTCTATGAATGTTATACATTGTAGGAGTTATAGAGGATATTCAATGATTTGTTGAATATGGAATTTATTTCACGAGTGGGACAGGATTTTTTGATGTTTTCACAAGTGCGAAGCACTCGTGAAAATATCAAAAAATCCTGTCACAAGTCGCACTCGTGAAAACATCAAAAAATCCTGTTCCACTCGTGAAATAAATTCCATATTCAACAGACAAAACATTGAATTTTCTGTTTATTACATTTTCTTTGATTTTTCCCTTTTAGATACTCTGTCTTTTTCTAATGAAGTCATGGCTTCATGTACATGTCGTCATCGTTGAGTAGTTGAGACGTCATAGCTAAGTGCTGTGAGATTGAAAACGTTGTAAACAAGGATTTCAACAGCATATTGGCGAATCTTTGGCAATTTTTTATTCGATGTAAGTATGGTTTATTTATTTTCTAACGGACCAAGGAGTATTTTTTACAACATTCTTTGTTATCGGAAGGAGAATTGAGAGTTACCGCACTTCTGATATTTCTCACA